TGAATTGACCGATCCCGTTTTGAGATTAGGGTAGAGAAAATAACATATAAACTATACGGATTTAGTGAAAAAAAAAGTTTGAAATGCATTTAGGAGGTTTTAGGGATTACACAAAGGAACTTTGAGATTTTTGAGATGGCAAAATGTATCTTTAATTTTAACATGAAAATTACTTTGCACATGGACTATTCAAAACAAATACTCAATATATTCATGGAAAAAACTATTTTATTTTATTAAAAGTACTTCACTAAGAAATATGACTTTTTGTATGTGAAAAACTTGTAATATTAATAGAAAGACTGCCAAATTTCGTGAAGATATACTCAACATATATATAGTTATAAGTAATAAATTTGTGTGAACTTTAAATGAGTACAGAAGGTCACGTGCCAGGGACCAAGCCCGTGTCAAAAGAGTTAATGTCTTTCATATTTCTATCTAGAAACCAAGTTCAACTACTTTTGAAAATGCCAGCCACACTACACTAAACCAACCAACAATAAGTACAGTTACATTTATTACAGATATCTCAATAGCATAAAATAAAACATGATATACTTGTCTTAGTATCACTTTAATTTAGGTAGAATATTCATTTAAAAAATTACTGTAAAAGTAACGTAAATGGATGTAATTATATACAATTATTTAACTTGTAAATAAAAAAATATTGCAATAGTTTTCTCAGTCATATTAATTATTTTTAAAACATGTTGCTTGCACTGTTGCAAGCTGCTTCCTTTGTCATATCACTCTTCCCAAGTTTCTGTAAGATAATTTGAGAATTTAAACAAACTAAAATTTCAGTTTATTTGAACATGAACTTCAAATGTACCTTGCTTCTTTTTATTATCAATAAGTAAAAAACTATCACAAAGATCGGGTTTTACACATTGTTATCTGGTGAAAATAAATCAAAACAAATGTCAGATGTGTTACTAAACACCATCAAAGTAACAGAAAGTTACAAAGAATAAGGAAAACTAAACTTCACTAATGTTATCATCATGTATGTTTATTGTTAATAAAAATAACCACCACAAAATTGACTATGCAAATAAAATGAGCACATGTACTGACGTAATTTATCACAAAAAACACAAATATAGATCAAGTGACCAGTAAACGTAACACTTTATAAAGCTTTTAGCAATAAGATATAACATTCATCCAAAGTAGATTTTAAAAGATTCAATGCTACACAGTTAAAAACTAAGTAGACATCACTTATTTACCCTAGAATTATTGACGAAGGTCACATGGATCCTATTTGCTTTTTAAGCAAGTTTTTCAAAACTATTTATACATCAAATTGCTGGTGAACCCATAATTTTATTAGTTAATGGATTCATAGTAACATATGAATCACACAAAACATTTAAACAAAAATAACAACAACATTTTAGTTAATCCCACTGATTACTTATGGGATCCACTTGTATTTGGTCAGTTACTTTTTGCTAAGTGTTATAACAAAGCATAAATATAACATTACTCAATATGATTCAATATATGGACCCACTGGTAGGGAATGGTACTAAAACAAGTTATGAATAATATATGAAGAAAATAATAATTGAAGAAATTACTTATTTTGAAACAATTAAAAAATAACATTTCAAATTATAGTCTACAACCAACAATTCACAGAAAGAAAATAAGTATTGCATTTGTGGTTATATGTATGATACAAATAATACAGAGAAAATTTATCGATAAGTCTTCTAACTTCTTTATCATACAGATGTACCACAGGTAAGCTGTTTTGCAAAGAATAAACACACACAGCAAAGAAAGAAAGAAAGAAAGACTCACACATTTGTGTAGACAAGAAACAACATTATTTTTTATATACTAATGTTGAGAAAAAGTAGTTTGAAGTATCTGGCTAGTGCTGAAGGAGAAAGGAGTTCCAAGACACTTCCTCACCAGATAAAGAAATAAAAAGGAATCTGGTAACACCTCACTGTTATATGAGACCAAAGTACCAGTGCTGTATTCCATAATCCTGGATTAACGTGTGTACAATTTTTCCAGAGAGCCTATCTTTTCACTGTGCCACCTCATGCCACAGCCATCTGTTCTCTGCAACAAGCTGTTATCTCCAAGGTTTGATATCATGCTAACACATGACTCAAATCAACATTCACTGTACTATCTGGGCCTGACAATGCAGCTTACATATTTTGATGGCCATGTGTTTTTTGACTATCTTCAGGAGGTGAAAAACATGGTGGTTTGGTTGCTAACATTTTATTTGTACCAAGTTGATTGTTTAGCACTTCTTGGCACAAAGCAACAAGGCTATGTGCACCAAACAACCAGTAAAAATCTTATAAAAGTAAATTTCAATAAAATGCAAAAATGAATTGAGTTAAACCAAAACAATGTGCAAAAAATCTGATAAAAGATTCAGACAGAATTAAAAAAGGCCAATGGCTTGTAAAAAATTTAAAAATACAATCAAATTGGACAGTGTCACCATTGCCAGTGACATTGTCCAATGTCAGGGTTAAACCCTTAGAAAACTCATGTCTAAAATGATTTATGGCTTTAGTTGGTAAATAGAGTACTAGGAGAAATGCAGAGGTTGAGTAATTTACACTAACTCTCTTGCTACTGGCTCAATAAATTTGAGACCCCAAATTGACCTTTGGAGTTTCCATACCATAACTTCTAATATGTTTTATGTATCTTCACAAAATTTTGCAAGCTTTCAGTAAATATTATAAGTCTTTTGTAGATAAAAACATCAGAAATTTTAATGTAGTATTTTTACTAAAAATTTCTCCATGAAATTTTGGAGTCAAAGTGTTGACTGCTCTGAGTGCAAAGTGATTTTCATGTTAAGATTAAAAATACTATTTTTCCTCTGAAAATTATTAAGCTTCAAATTTTTTTGTCAGTGATACTATATTTTATCTGTTATTTTCTCAACCATAACTCTATATAGGGTCAGTCAATTTAAGCAACCTCTTAACCACCATAAAAATACGAGATAAATACTTCAAATTGTAACAAGAAACAACATTCATCTATCCTAAATAGCTTAAAGCTAGTAACAGTATACATATGTTTGTTTACATTCTATTGTTTTATTGCTTTTTTGAGCTGTATCTAACTAATAATTCAACTATACAAGTTGTAAATCACTCAGTAAATGTGTAACTCATGTTACTTTATTGAATTATGTGGTGCATAAGCCGCTTGTGAGAATTTTTATAATTTTTTTCCTTATCTTACCTAATCTAACCTACCAAGTTTCTAATTTTTACATAATAAAGAAAGAATACACTTAAAAAACAAGAAGTACAGTATTTACCTGGGTCTTTTTTCTTGATGAAACTTAACCCTTCTTTTTTTATATTAATGGTACTACTATACTAAATAATGTCTTATTCAATTAAATAATGCACCTAAGAACACAAGATAATTTTTCTGGCTTTCTAACTATGCAATAAGAGCCATTAAATATTCGGCTATGATCATCATTGTGTTTTTCATGGGAATGAAGTTTGAACTGGAAGTGAAATAGACAGTTCTCTGTGAAGAAAACAACATATAATATCATTTAATAGATTAAAACTTTGGTTTCAATTGGTTATAAATAATAGAGTACTAAATGTCAGAGAGAACTATTGGCAATTTGTGAAAAGGAGGATGTAAAAGGTGGGTCTGATTTTCTAGTTTATGGTGCTGTAAACAAATGTCACTATGTCTGGTCATGCTCTCTCTGTTGAATGAGTACCTTGAAATTCGCCTGCAACACAGTTTCTATTGAAAATGGCTCAGTTCTAAGACTGACATATCTACACAATACCACTTCTCCCTGCATGGTTCCATAATTCATCTAGTACAGGAGGATGATAGTTCCCAGTGCTCACTTTAACACTCTGCATGCAGAGAAATATCTACGCACTACATTCATTATGTCTTAATATGGAATACTATACTACTCATGACTATTCTACTATTCTCCAGATGCCGGAGGTGTTTGACAGTTGAATGGATATGTTTTAGAAGTAGGTAATAGGTAGGCAAACAACAATTTATAAGCATAAGGAAAAGTTTTATTGATAGTGGAACATGCTATACGTTTTGATAGACCATTGGTTTGTCTACTTCAGGTATGATCAGTACTAGACAATATAAGGTTTAGATACCATTACAAAGATAAAAGATACAGGGATTAAATATCAAGGAAATGGTGTCAGCAGGTGACAGGATATAGGTAGAGGTGAAGTCTGATCAAGTGTATGAACAGTGAATAGACCTTGTAAAATATGGCTGATGTTGCAACATAAGCTGTATTTGGCAAGGTCTATTCATAACTGAAGAAGACAGACACCAATGTTCTAATGAAACATGTAATATGTTCCACCATCAATAAAACTTTTCCTTATGTTTATAAATCATTGTTCACCTACCTATTATTACATTAGCATAATGTAGTTCCTTACTCAAGTATTTTAGAAGGAGCCTATGTACAAGACTTGTGGCACTTTTACACAACGAGATCTCTTTTTATAATGTTGCATACTGTTGCTTGGGTTATGTAGACAGCTTATACAATAATATTTATGTTTGTAGATTCTCATCTGTTAGAAGATGCTGCACTTTACTTGCCATGGCTGGTGTATGATTTGTTGCAGGTCTCTTTCTGTATGGTTCTGGTATCTAAGATGATCCTTATTCCTTTGTTTTCCATTAGCATTAAGTACAAGGGCTACTGCAAATTTCTGATTTATGATATGATTGTATAAATATTTTGCATCAGAAAAGACTGTTACATATCTTTTCTAAAAGCAACAAATTCTGGTGGCATCACACTACTTCCAAAATGCCAAACAATGTCAAAATGTAGTTCTGATACATACCATTCCAATGTGACTTTATATTTGCTGTGGCTGCCATACGAATTGCTGACTTGCATATTCAAAATTCTTTTAATATAAAATATTCAAACTTCTGTATATTGATGAATATCAAAGAAGTTAAAATTGACTGAATATATAAATTGGAATGGTCTGATTAACAATAAAACATATAAAACAAAAGTGCTTTTATTGTTCTTTGGTGTACTTTGGTGACAGATTTTCTTGTAGGCAGATTTTGTTAAACAAGACTGATGTCTGTAGGTTTGCTTTCTTCTTAGAATTCTTCTCAAGAAGTCGATAAGCC